GAGACAGCTCAGGTTAGGTGTAGTTCAGAGCAGGAATAAAGCGGAGTCCAAAATCCTTCCACCACTTTGTTCATTCCCTCCTTAACTCCCCACTGCAAGATGTCTTGCCTGGAGTCCACAGCGTCCACATCTGATTCCCTCCACCTTTCTTTCCTTTCGTCTGAGTGGGATTCGATTTTTTATTTTACTACCGGTTGTGTGGGCATGGCTGGGTGGGCCTGGCAGGGGAAGGATACTGCAAAATCTCCAGTCAGGTGTGGTTTTTGCCGGTTCTCGGAACTACTCAAAATTTCCGTGACCGGTTCTCCAGAACCGGTCAGAACCTGCTGGATCTCTGAGCTGGCTTGGTTTCTTGCAGACGTTTCATGACCCCCACTAGGTGACATCATCAGTGCTAGAACGGCTAGCATAAACCCCACGCCGTCCTAGCACTGATGATGTGACCTAGTAGGGGTCATGAAATGTCTCTGCAAGAAAACAAGCCAGCTCAGAGGATTTACTTCCGAGTAAACGGGCAATCCGATTTGGAGGAAGGGCTGTGCCTGGTTGCATTGCAGCCCCTGCTGCCACGGGGGTCTCTGCCCGAGAACTACTCAAAATTTCCGCTACTGGTTCTCCAGAACTGGTCAGAACCGGCTGAATGCTACCTCTGGAGACGTCCTGAGAACTGGTAGCGGACATTTTGAATAGTTTGAAGAACTGGCAAATCCTACTCTGACTGGCCCCGCCCCCTGTCTATTCTCCGCCTCCTGAGTCCCAGCTGATTGGCTGAGTCTTCTTTGGTTGCCCTGCATAGGAGAACGGAACTGGAAAGCAGGTTAGTGGGGAGGTGGGAGGGAATGGAGATTTTGCAGTATCCTTCCCCTGCCACGCCCACCAAGCCACGCCCACAGAACCAGTAGTAACCTTTTTTTTTTTAATCCCACCACTGCACCCATGAGCACGAGGCTACCTACCTTGGTGGTCTCCTCCTGCTCTCTAAACATCTTCAGGCGCCCTCCTCCTCCTCAATTTTTTTCTCTTGATGGTTCCCCCAGTGGAGATTGAAGGGATCAAGGACTTGCCGTGGCCTCCTCCAGTTGGGCAGCTTGATGGTTCAACTACTAACCACTCGGAACCTGAGAAACACCTCCTTCTCCAAAGCAGCGGCTACAGAGATGCTCCCCCGGGCCTCCAAAATGCCAGTACCAGCACTCCAGACTTGTCTGCTTTGCCCTGTCCCCTGGAAGTCAATAGTGAGTAAGCTGGTTGTGTGAACAAAGGTGTGTGTGTGTTGTGTGTGTCAGCCCTTAAAATAGTATAAATGAGCACATAGGTTTTTTTGCAAAATTTCAACTGCACCGTCAGCTATAGGCAGTCTGTTAGGAATATGAGTCACCTAACAGCTATTTGGGTTAGAAATATATAAACCAGGATAAACATTTTCGTACTATGTCTTTAAGACAGGGGTCCCCAACCACCGGGCCTCGGACCGGTATCGGTCCGTGGAACATTTTCTACCAGGCCACCGGTTTGCTGGGAGCCGCCATCTTGTTTCGATGAGAAAGTGCTTCCGGGTGAGCTTTTCCGGTTGGAAAGCGGCATTTGGGTCCTGAAGGAATCCTCGCGCCTTAGTTTCATCGAAGAGGGGGCGGCGGCTTCGAACGAAACTAAGGCGCGAGGATTCTTTCAGCACCCAAGGCAAGGCGAGCCGAGCGACCGTCCCGAAGCCGTCCCGAAGCCCATCGACAAAGGTACAAAGGAGGAGTTGAAGGTGGCGGGGAGAAGCGGGGGACGGCTGGCTGGCCGGTCACTCGGCTTGCCTTGCCTTGTCATGCGTGCTGATGCCGGTACCGGGCCGTGGATCATTTTGTGATGCTGGTACCGGGCCGTGGCACAAAAAAGGTTGGGGGCCACTGCTTTAAGAGATTGCAAAAACTGCAATTGGGTGTGGTTTTTCAAAGGGCCATAAGATGGAGCCAGAAACCTGGATTGTTTTAGTCTTAGTCTCAGAAGTGAGTGAGTATCTCTGTTTCCTTCTGTTGGAAAGCATTGCCGTTGCTCCATTTCTCCTAATGGACTGATATTTCTGGATTTAATGTAAGTCTGATACTGAACTGTTTTTGACACTGGAATTTGTTATTGGATTATCACTGGATTGGAAACTGACTGATTTACTTGTGAATGACTTTGGATTGCTTATTTTGGACTTTGCTTAACGTTTCTGGAAGTAAAAACCTACATTTACTGTACAGTGTATCTGTGTGCTGTATGTGTATCATTCAAACACCTCTCTCAAATTACATCTCCCTGTATGCGCTCATTCTCCTAACGGGGAATTACCTCAACACAGTCCTTGCTTAATGAACAGCCGCTGAACAACAGAATGGGAGCTTCATCCTGTCCCCAAAGGGGTCTCTTTGCAGGAGAGGAGGGGGAAAAAAAAGTCAAGCTGGTTGCAACCACTTATTCAAAGCTTCTCACACACACACCCTTTTTTTCACATGCGAGTGTCAGGCCCAAAACCAGGAGTGACACGGCGATGAATCTTGCAAGCTGAGTGCTTTATGGTTCCCGCACCTATAGACAGAATCTTGCCAGACTGAACACTCTCCTATCTGCCTCTACAATATACCCTTGGAACTATAAAGGAGGGTCTGTCTTCATCCTCTTTCTCTCAAACACGATATCAGGGCACCGTTGCCTCTTCCTACTCTGGATTGCACCCTTCCCCTCCTGGGAATCTACCTCCTCACCGCCTTTCTACCACATCATTGGTGGACTTCAACTCCCAGAATTCCCCAACTACCGTGTATGGACTTCAAGTCCCAGAACACCTCAGTCACCATATCTCAGGCCCCAAACCAAGAAGGACACATGACAATTCTTACCCAGCTGAGATACTTATTGTTCCACACCTATAGACAGAATCTTGCCAGACTGAAGACTCCCTTATCTGCATCTAAAATATACTGTGGGAACTATTGAGGAGAAGCTATCCTCACCCTCTTTCTCTCACACAAAATCTCTGGGCTGAGCTGCCTCTCGCTCCTTTGGAAGGCAGCCCCTCCGCCTCCTCACCTATCACAATGCGTTATATGTCAAAAAAAAGGGGACGGGGCCTCCATTGTAGATACTCTCTTGCTCCTACCGTAGATACCCCTAACTTTGCCAAATCCTCAGCACGTTGGCTATATTTTTATCTCCATCTCATTTGCCCCCCTCCCATATTTCCCCCCCTCCCCAGGGAGGGCCTGATCCTGCCTTTCACTCTTGTCCTGCAGCCGCGTCCCACAGCTCCCACTCCACCTTTCACATTCCATTATGTGCTTCTGCTCCAAGGTGCAGCGACGGTGAAAAACCATGTGCTGCCGGCGTGCACGGAAGGAAAGTGCGCCCCCTGCTGGTTGAGCCCAGAGGATGGGGCGGCTTTTGGCGAATATGTCAATCCTGCACTGCCCCTGGAGAGCCAAGCGTAAGTAGGCTGATTTAGAGACCGCTCACTCCCAGGGAGACCCTGGCCTGTGTAGACGAATCTCTTCTTTTGCATATTTCTTTGCTCTTCTTTTTTTAAGGGGCATTTTTAAAAACATTTTTTTTTCTCATTTTGTTTGGGTTTTTTTTTTTTTTTTAAACTTGTAATTCTTTTATTTTGTGAGATTTGGATTTATTTTTCGGGATTTGGTGGAGCTCTCGCCTCACCATCAGGAGGCCGTGAGTTCAATCCTAGGTAGAGGCTAAGATATTTTTTTTCTCTCTGGGCACGATAAGAATAGATCTGCTGAAAGAAAACTCTGCATTGGCGACAGGAAGGGCATCCAGCCAGTAAACACTCCGCTCCATGCAGTTGCCCCGACTCCACCCCGCAAGAGATTACAGGGACATTAAACAAAACAAAACAAAACAAAAAAACAAATTGTATTTTAACTTTTTGAATAATTTTTTTAAAAAAAAAGGATAAAAGGGGAATGAATCTCTTCTTTTGCAGGTGGTACCATGGGACCCTGAGTCGAGTGGATGCTGAGAACCTGCTCCGACTTTGCCGGGAAGCGAGTTACCTGGTTCGCAACAGTGAGAGTAGCCACGATGCCTTTTCACTCTCCCTCAAGTGAGTGTAATCATACTAGCGTTTCCTCCCCTTGGTACATCACAGGGAATGGCTGGCACCCTGATTGCACATATGTCTCCACCTTCTGATTCCTGAACTCAGGGCAGTCAAGACTCTTGACAATTTGCTCAGGTTCAAGAAACCCTTTATTGAGTACACCGTGTTGGCATTTAGAAAGGTGAAGCTAGTTCTAAATACTCCTGCGTTTAGGGCAGGGGTACTCAAACTCAATTTACCTGGGGGCCGCTGGAGGCAGAGTCTGGGTGAGGCTGGGCCGCATAAGGGATTCCACAAAAATGACCTCATTTCCGCTTCCGCGTGACGTCCTTTCCGCTTCTACTTGTCACAACAGCGCGGCGGATGACGAACAGCCCGGTAGCAGTCGCCTTTCTCTGCGTTTGATCGTGGCATTTGTTGATGGTAGAAAGTACCGGAATGGCGACCGCAAAAAAAGGCAACTGCTACCGGACTGTTTGTCATCTGCCACACTGTTGTTACAAGCGTCGTATGCATGAAGTCGGTGTAGCTTAGCCTAGCACCGAATGTCAGCCATGACGAGGAACGGCAGGCAGGACTTCCTTCAGAGGTCCACCCCCCCTGCGGGCCGCACTAATATTATACTTTCATATCACGGTGGGGGCCACAGGATATCGTCCTGAGGGCTGCGATTGGCCCGCGGGCCGGCGAGAATGAGACCTCTGGTTTAGGGATAGTGAATAGAATAGAAATTTCTCACCCACTCACCCCCTGTGTCTTTTAGATCACATGGGTGTTGTGGTTTGCAGACGGCAGCGGAATCAAACAGTGGCATAGAACGGGGACCAGTCAGGGAGTCTGGAGAGAACTCGAACAAGGACCCTGCGTCCAATGCAGGGATGGAGCCAGGACCCTCTGGGAGAGGGGTGCTGACTCCAGAACCTCCAGTCTGGCAGCAGCAAGGCAGAGGAACAAGGGGAGCCTGTTCCCAGTACGTGTGTGTACAGAGCTGCTCGAAGGCAAGAGCAGCTGAGACAAAAGGGGCGACGGGAGTAAGGCTTGGAGGTGATTGCCCCTCCCATAAGGTATAAAGGAGAGGCAAAGGTAGAGAAGCCTTTGCAGGAAGGAAAGTTGTTCGCTCTGTTCAGATGAATCCTTGAAGGACTTTGTACTTTGATTGGTTTTTTTCCAGTTCATTTGGCACTTTAGTTGTTGGCAGCAATTCAAAGGAGAGAAAGGTGGGTGCTTATCTCGAGGGACTGTTTGGGACTCATGACAGGCTGGGAATGAACTTAATTCCCAGCTATTGAATTAAAACAAAGAGTTGTTTGGACGAAACGTGTGCTTAATTATGGCCTTGGTCAGAACCATGGGCCAATCAATTCAGCCACAGGTTCCTGCTCAGCTCTGACAGGTGTCTGTTGACATGGCCTTGGTTCACATGCCGGCTAGTAGATGTTTTGACTAGCCGCTGAGGCACCACATTCCTAAGTTCCACCCTACCCAACCCCACCAGGAATGACAACCAAGAAACGAAGCCGGAGTAAGCATGGGAGAGAATGGCTTCAGCTGAGGTCGTTTTGCAGGCTGACCTATGTGTTTGTGTTCTTCTCCTTTCTCTCTCCCCCTAGGAACAGCCAAGGGTTCCTTCACATGAAACTCCTGCAGACCGAAGACAACAAGTTTATCTTGGGCCAGCACAGCCCTCCCTTCAACAACATCCCAGAGGTCATCCACCACTATGCCAGCCACAAGCTGCCCATTCAGGGGGCTGAACACATGTCCTTGCTCTACCCGGTCTCTACTCAGCCCTCCAGCTGCCTGGCCGCAGAGCAGTGACTTGCACTGAAGGGCCCAAAAGCCAGGGGCTGGAGGTGTGCATGAAGGTTGGGTGGAGCATTTGTGGTCTACAGGCTCGTGTCGCGCAGAGGAGGCAGGAAGCGCCTGAAGTTGGAAACTGTTCATTGGTGGGCCAGAGGTCTGCAGATCCAAGAATGGTTGTATCTTAGGCTCCGTAGTTGGCCAATACAGCCACATCTTGCATGTTGGACTCCAAAGCATTCTTCAAGGTTGCCAGGTCATCCTTCTCTGTGTAGGGAGTGGTCCGTTCTGAAATGGACCTTGGGTCATCAAATCCAGAGTTTTGCAATGATGTCCCTGCATCCACCCGCCTAGCCTCCCAAATTGTGAATTCCATCTGCTCAGTGCTCATCCATTCCTACCTCTTGGGTACATTGCTTCTACTTCTTCACGGCTCTGCCTCTGCAATGGAGGCCTTGCAGATCCAATATTTGTAGGATCTAATAGGTGTCCCATCAAAACCTTTCTTTGGTGGCAGCTTGAATATTTGATGGCATCAAGAGAAGACCTAATGCCTGAACTGCCACTTTATGTCATCCCTGCCAACCCACCAAAAATAATCTCATAGCTCATTAAACCTATTGTGTTGATTAGGGCTTCTTGACTGGCTAGCAAGTCATTAAACCTAGTTATGTTGATCAGAGCTTCTTGGCTGGCTATCAAGTTACAATAGACCAAGAGGGACATGGATGTATAAATGACTGGAAATGTCATTCCTTAACCCAGTCATTTATACATCCATGTCCCACTTGGTCTATTGTAACTTGATAGCCAGCCAAGAAGCTCTGATCAACATAACTAGGTTTAACGACTTGCTAGCCAGTCAAGAAGCCCTAATCAACATAATAGGTTTAATGAGCTATGAGATTAATTTTGGTGGGTTCCATCCCATGATTGAATGGGGGGTCTCTATTTTTATAGATAGAGAAGACTCTTTTAATTTCTGAACTAAGAGAATAGATTTCTTTTAGATGTTTTACCTGATTCTCAGGACTGATGGATTTCTGCTGTTGCTAATTGGAGAACAGATGCATTGAGAAGATTGCTATCTGGACTGATGGGCTAATGGACTAGAAAGCTAAATAAAAAGGATTTAGAAAACAGAGGCCATATCTCAGTGCCAAAACTGATGTTTGGCGCGCAAAGATTGCAGATCTAATTCCCAGGAACTTCTACTAAGAATTAAATTGTACTATGATGTGGAAAACTTCTGCTGGATTGCTGGAGAGCTACTCGTAGTTACATCAATAGATGGGCGAAGAAGCTGGCCTGGAAGCAGATGGCTTGTTATGGAGAGTCTTTGCATGTGGCTAGAAGCAGTTCAGTATTATGAATTTATCCAGGATGCATTGTGAAACCCTTCTTTGGTAAGAGTTGAGTTGTCTTTTGTTGGTTCCTTCAAGTAAGTAATAAAAACGCAAAATGGCAGACTTAGACTGCGGTCTTCTTTGTTCATGGTAACTTTTACTCATTGGAGAACTGTGTTTACTCATTGTGTTGACATGGTTGTCCCAAAGGTGCTTTTTCAAGAGGCAACTGGACTTTCTTGTTTTTCTTTGAAGATGTTTCGCTTCTCATCCAAGGAGCTTCTTCAGCTCTGACTGGATGGTGGGGGAAATGGAAGGATTTCAATTCCTTGAGGACACAGTGGCCTCAATGACTCCCTAAAACAGGGGTGGGCAAACTACGGCCCGCGGGCCACATCCGGCCCGTTGGTCTTTTTAATCCGGCCCGCCGAAGATTGGTACAGAATTAAGGTTTGATGTGAATGATTGCATTCATTTGATTTTGACTTGTAATGACAGGCATTTCGACACCAGGTGGCGGCCCGTCTGTCAAATTTTAAAAGTCAATGAGGCCCCTGAGCCAAAAAGTTTGCCCACCCCTGCCCTAAAAGAATGCAAATGACCAGCTGTGTGCAAGGAATATAAAGGGCTGTTTTGCTCCGTGAAACTTTCAAAAATCCTTCCCCAAACCTTCAAACGGGAGGCATAGTTGTCTCTGCTCTTGAGCTTCCAAGTCTGGAAAGAAGATTTTGAGAATGATTAAAACTGTCCTCTCCTTAGTTGCTGCAAAGTTTGGGAGCTTAAAAAAAGCTCTTGCCTCCAGCCACAGCAGAAGAAAACAACATGATTTATCCACACCATCCCTGTATGTGAAGTGCATTTGTCCAACTGCACGAGGAAAAAAAAAAAAGCTACAATTTCAACTCATCTTTTTATTTTGGAATCATCTAAGCGAAACGTTCTACTGAGATGGAAATTTTTAAATTGCAAAACACTTCAGGCAGTGTCCAGTTGGGTTTTTTATTTTAGTGATTCTGTATCAAGCATAAATGAGAAGAAATTACTTGACTGTATAGAACTGGTTGTCAACACTGTTTTCTTCTTCGCTAAAAGTAAAAATATAGAGCGTGGAATATAATAGAAGAAGTGATGGCATATTTTATTTGAGGTGACACCTGCCACAAACTTTCAAGCATTGCAATGGAAAAAGATCTAGTTGTTCAGATAACAGTGGTGATAGAAAAAAACCGTAATGTAATTTTTTTTTGTTTCATACATTTATAAGACTGCCCAACTCAATTCAACGATGAACGGTTGCAGGAACTGGGCCTGGCTAGTCTAGGGAAGAGAAGGACCAGGGGAGACAGAATAGCAGTGTTCCAATATTTGAGGGGCTGCCACAGAGAGGAGGGGGTCAAACTATTTTCTAAAGCACCAGAAGGCCGGACAAGGAATAATGGATGGAAGCTGATCAAGGAGAGATTCAACCTGGAAATAAGGAGGAATTTTCTGGCAGTGAGCAATCAACCAATGGGACAGAAGATGCTTTCGGAAGTTGTGGGAGCTTCATCACTGCAGGCTTTCAAGAAGAGACTGGACTGTCATCTGTCAGAAATGGTGTGGGGTATCCTGCTTGAGCGGGGGTGGGTCGGGTTTAGACGAGATGACCTACAAGGTCCCTTCAACTCTGTAAATCTGCTAAAGTAAGGAAGTTTCTGAGCTGCATGTGATGAAGAGAAGAATAAATATATAGCATTTAAAAAGCAGTGCAATATATACCATGGACTTTAGGGGACCAAATGGGGTAATTAAAACCCTCAAAAGGGCACTCCATTCCCTGGATTCAAATGTCTTGGTGGGAGAGGAATCAAGTCTTATCAACCAGAAACACAGAATGGATAACAATCCTTTTATTGAGGAAGCAACGGATGAAAACTCATCAAAGAGAGAAACCTAGAACTAAGGTTGAAATGTCCTGACAGCAAGAACAATTAATCAGTGGAACAGCTTGTCTCCAGAAGTTGTGGATGCTCTAACACTGGAGGTTTTTAAGAAGAGATTGGACAACTGTTTGTCTGAAAAGATATAGGGCTTCCTGCTAGAGGGTGGAGGAGGGGGGGTTGGACTAGAAGACCTCCAAGGTCCCTTCCAACTCTTTGTCACTCTATTATTCTGCAAGCAAGGGTCTGATTGCCCCAGCCCAAAAAGAATGGGGTTGAACTGTATGAAAATGTTGAACTAGCACATTCATAAATGAATAAACTCACTTCATGTGAAGGACATTCCAATTCTTGTGGTATAAAAATCTATTTTAAAATGAGTTTTAGCTTTTTTAGAGGAGTTTTCAAACTTTTTCAGGCTGTGGAAGACAAAAAAAGAAACAAAACAAAATCATTCTAGGGTTTTGTTTTGTTTTTTAACCCAAAGACAACCTCTAGTGATAGAGATTTGTCTTTCTTTTTCTGCCCTTCGTTTCTCATCAGGGGTTTTGCAGGACAAACTTCAAAAAAGTTTCGCTTAGACTCCTCACCCTTTCCCCAGGAGGGGATCAAGATCACAAACAATTCAGGTGGATCACATTAAAAACACAGAGGTTTCAGCCTGAGGGGAAACCAGGAACATATACGGGCAGAATCATGGTCAGATAAGATGTTAGAAGGAGCATCGTGTGTGTGTGTATATAGCTGTTCCCTTTGGGCATCTCTCCCTCCTACCTCTGAAGATGCTCCTGGGGAGAATTCTGCCATGACTGGATCCTGGTAAAACCCACAGCAGGTTGGAAAGAGAGCCCAGTCTGTGGGCCTTGCCATCTGTACCAACCATCTGCCACAGAGGTGGGTCTTCAGCAGGTTCTGACCAGTTCTGGAGAACCGGCAGCGGAAATTTTGAGTAGTTTGGAGAACTGGCCAATCCCACCTCTGACTGGCCCTGCCAACCCCACCTATTCTCTGCCTCCCAAGTCCCAGCTGATTGGCTGGGTCTTTTTGGGTTGCCCAGCGCAGGAGAACGGAGCTGGAAAGCGGGTTAGTGGGGTGGGGAGGGGATAGGGATTTTACAATAGCCTTCCCCCAGGAGTGGGGAGGGAATGGAGATTTTGCAGTATCCTTCCCCTGCCATGCTCAGCAAGCCATGCCCACAGAACCGGTAGTAAACATTTTTTGAATCCCACCAATGATCAGACTCACTCCAAATGAAATATATGTGCCCATCACACTACCAGCAATGGTAGCAAAGCCACCGGTCATCACAGCATGGACTTCTGAGCATGTCATGTCCTCCAGGTAGGGACAGATGAGCAATGGTGCTTCAGTCTGGAGGACAAAAGTTAAATTCAAATAATCTTCTCTTCTCTTCTCATTCCATTCCATTGTCTATTCTAACATCCTATCCTATTCTATTCTAATATCTGTTCTATTCTATTCTAATATCCTATCCTATCCTATTCTAATATCTATTCTATTCTATTCTAATCTATTCTAATATCTATTCTATTCTAATATCTATTCTATTCTCCTCTATATTCTCCTCTACATTCTATTCTATTCTATTCTATTCTACTCTATATTCTCCTCTACATTCTATTCTATTCTATTCTATTCTATTCTATTCTATTCTATTCTATTCTATTCTATTCTATTCTATTAATTCAATTTCATTCTCTATTCAAATATCTATTCTATTCTATTCTATTCTATTCTATTCTA